ATTGTGAACTCCTTGAGGGAAGGGAATATGTCTTGTAAATAAGGTGTTTCCTCTTACAACTAGTTCAGGGTTCTCCAAATAGTGGATGCTTTGATAAACGTTTACTAAATTGAAAATATTAAAGGGGATGAGAAATATTTTGGCCCAAATAACCCAGTGTTGGCTTAGAAACTTCCAGCTCAAGACTCACTTTCTGCATGCAACCTGTTCCACTACTCCAAGCTATTTTAATTTCTCCCTGGTCTTTCTCCTAAATACTTGTGTCTACACTACATCATTTAGTCTTTTAGTTTACATTACCCAATATTGCTCTCTACTCAAAAGACAACATGGAAAAACTAGGCCTGAAGATATCAAGTGATGTTTGGCAAGAAACAAACTCTTAGATACTCAATTTATTTATCCATAAAATGAGAATGATAATACATGTGACCTGGGAATAACATCTACAAGTGTAAAAAAATACTAACAATAATTATTTTTCAGTTTTATTGTAAGAAAGCATTGGAAACGTTAAAGTACTATGTAAATTGAGTAATTATTGACTAATGGAAACACATGGTACAGACATACAAGAGAAACTATTGCCTAAGCAATCTCTAAATTGTAGGGAACCCATTTCTTCTCTTTAATATGTTCATTTCATCATTTAGACTAGACGGCATTTCTAAGTTCCTTATTTAGGAACTAAGATGGAAATATTTAGAGGGAGAGTCCTGGATAAAAATATAGCAATCAACTCAAAGCAACATTGTATATTTAACTACAGAGGAATCCTATTTTAAGACTGGTGTTAAGGGAACACTTGTCATAGGTACATTTCTAGTTATCTGGTGGAATTTGATTTAGTCCATATGAATCTAAAGCATGATAGAATTCATTTGGACTCTACATTTTTTCAATGAACGAATGAATGAATGAGTGATATACATTTTGTAAACATATTATTAAATGCCAGTCTCACATAAAAAGAACTGGAAAAAATGTCTTCAGAATGGGACTCCATTCTATTTCTTATGTGTGGTCTGCCACCTAGTGTTCATCAACAGAAATGAAAAATAATTTACAGCAGCAATTTCCAATCCAGCTATGACAAAATGGAGAACATTTAGAATTTGGAGTATGAAATATCTTTTTTTTAAAATAAGATAAGGTTTCACTGTAAAACTAAAAGTACAAAAAACTACCTTAAGATTAAGTAATAAAAATGTGAAATTAGGGTAAAAATTAAAATGCATTTTACAAAGGGGGCATTTTACAAAGGAGGAAGACATTTTGGCAGATTTCTATCCCTCCTCATGGATAACTGTGGGACCTAAAAGTTGCAGTTCCACCCAGATGGGTTTTAGGGTCCTCTCCACTGAGCCAGAGTCACTATTGCCTAAGGAGCAGATCGAGTGCTTAACTTGGGAGTCAGAAGATCTCAGCTCAAATACCACCTTGGATACTTACAGATGGTTGACCATGAACAAGTCACTCAACTTCTCTCAGTCTCAGTTTCCTCGTTAGTAAAATGGGGGTCATAATAACTGTGGTATGTAGCACAGAGAGCTATAGTAAAATACAAATAAGACAGGTATTGTAAATTACTATGGGGAACAGGTAAGATAACAATAAAAACTTTGTTGTTATTATCCAGTAGTCTGTCATGTCTGACTCTCTGTAATCCCATTTGAAGTTTTCTTAGCAAAGATACTGGAGTGGTTTTGCCATTTCCTTCTCCAGGTATTTTAAAGATGAGGAAACTGAGGTAGGTTAAGTGACCTGCCCAGGGTCACACAGCTAGGAAGTATATGAGGCCAGATTGAACTCACAAAGATGAGTCTTCCTGACTCTAGGCCCAGCACTCACTGTTCTACCTAGTTGCCCAATGATGATGATAACAGCTAACATTTATATTGTGCTTACTATGGGCCAGGTACTTTGCTAAGTACAATTATTATCTTATTTAGCCCTCATAACAATCCTGGGGAGGTAGGTGCTATTACTATCCCCATTTTACAGATGAGGAAACTGAGGCAATGTGACTTGCCCAGAGTCACACAGTTAGTAAGTGTCTGAGGCCAAGATCTGAACTTAGGTCTTCATGATTCTAGGTGGCCTGGAATCAGGAAGACTCATCTTCCTGATTTCAAATCTGGCCTCAGACACTTACTAGCTGCGACTCTGGGCAAATCACTTAATTCTGTTTGTGTCAGTCTCCTCATCTGTAACATGATTTGGACAAGGAAATGTCAAACCACTTCCATATCTTTGCCAAGAAAACCGCAGATGGGTTCATGAAAAAGACTGAACAACAATTTCCTGATTCTAGGTGTTCACTCACAGAAAATAGTCATAAATAAATTTCTGAGTGGTGATGGCACTAAACTTGGCCCAGGAATTATGGGTGTGAAATAAAGGCAAAGAAAACCAAAAGTAGTAGTAAAGATAGCATTGGTAGATTAAATACCAGTTTGCATTGCCCATGTTGACATTTCCATTAGCATGAAAAATTCAACTTGATTCACCCATTCACAATTAACTGGGATTTACATTTTGTAAAGTTTCTTATTATCCAGTTTCTGATACTGTTCCCCTCCTAACTCCCATCCATCCATACACAAGAGCATCTTGTAATAAAAATGAAATCAAATTCTCTGAAGCAAGGAGTGGTGGTTAGAACTTGAAAAACTGTATATAAAAGGGCAGCTAGGTGGTACAGTGGATAGAACATCTGCCCTGGAGTCAGGAGGACCTGAGTTTAAATCCAGCCTCAGATACTTCCTAGCTGTGTGATCCTTGGGAAGTCACTTAACTCTATTGCCTACCCTAAACAAACAACAAAAAAAAGCTATATATACAACATCATAGTGATCAGAGTTCCTAAGTCTTTCATAGTTATCTGTCTTTACAATACTGTTACCAATGTATAAATTGTTCTCCTGGTTTTATTAACTCTACATCAGTTCACACAAAGTTTCCCTGGTTTCTTGGAGGCCATCCCCTTTGTCATTTCTTACAATACAATAGTATTCCATCACATTTATATACCATGACTTGTTCATCCATTCTGCCCTTTATGGGCACCCACTCAGATTCTTATTCTTTGTCACCTCAAAAAGAAGTACTAACCCTTCCTTTAATCTTCTTGTTGTTCAGTCATTTCAGTCACATCAGACTCTTCCTGACGTTCTCTCCTCCACTTCCCCCTTTGAGAATGAAAGGAAAATAAAACCCACTACAAACATGTATAGTCAAGCAAAGCAAATTTTCTCATTTGCCATGTCCAAAATGAAATAGATATACACACAAACACACAAATATATTTCATTCTGCACTTTGAGTATTTCACTTCAGGAGGTAGGTAGCATGTTTTTTCATTAATCCTCTGGAATTATGGTTTTTCATTATAGTGATCAGGGCAGCTAGGTGGCACAGTGGATAGTGTGCCAGGCCTGAAATCAGAAAGACTCATCTTCCAGAGTTCAAATCTGGCTTCAGACATTTACTAGCTGTGTGACCCTGGGCAAGTCACTTAACCCTGTTTGTCTCAGTTCCTCATCTGTAAAATAAGCTGGAGAAGGAAATGCCAAACCACTCCAGTATCTTTGCCAAGAAAACCTCAAATTGGGTCATGAAGAATCAGACACGAATGAGACGACTGAACATCATTAACAAGATATCCATCCCAGGTTCACCTTGTCACCATGCTGTTAACTCAAGCTTTAAATGATACCACCTCCCTCAGCCTCCACTTCCCTCTGTTGGAGGGCTAGAGGATGGCATACCAAACTCCTCCCTTTATAGAGGAAAGAAACTGGGCTCACGGAGTGTTGGATACATCCAACTCAAGAACAACAATGATGCAAGTGGTATTCCTAAACAGCAATAATAAAAGGAAATACAGCAGTACCATAAAAATTTCAAATCCTTTCTAATTTTTCCATACACTATGATTTTTTTTAAAACTCCAGATCTTGTTTGGGAGTGGACATGCATGTTTGTAATCTCTGCTACTGGGTAGGCTGAAGCTAGTAGTGCACTTGCATTCCAGAGTTGCAGAATACTTAGCCAAAGGAGTTTCTGCAGGATGACCTGTATCAATATGGTGAGCCCTCAAAAACAAATGGCTACCTAAGGAGGTGTCAACTGGCCTGGGTCAGAAATGGTACATGACAAGGCTCCCATGCATATCACTAGTGAGATTAGTCCATGACTGGCTGCTGTACTTCCAGCCTGGAGGGGAAAAAAATGTTCCTTGAAACAAATGAGATTTTTTTTCACATGTCAACAAATCTGTGATCTTGTTAATATCAGTACTTTCTTCTTTGATGCAAATTCCAACTTAATAATACCTTTTCAACACGTATAATTTTTGCCATGTTCTCCCATAGACCCTCCATAAAGAATCTATCCAACATGCTGAAGGTCTTTTTACATTTTAATAGTTTTTATGCAGCACACAGCCTGTCCATAAGTTATCCCTTGCTCTTGATATATATTTCCTTTTCTAATTATGCATTTACTTGATGATATCTCTCATGCCACATCTGTCACAGCACATCAGTGGACCCTGAAACCAACTTGTACTTATCAGGTATCTCTCCATTCCCCTGTGGCTTACTTTCAATGGAGTTAATACACCAATACATATAATTGGGACAGACATTGCAATTGGGTGAAGCTAGACTAGGCATCACACAGTGAACAGCTAAAAGAGATTTAGATTGGATTGCATTTGCTTCTAACAAGTTCTTCCTGGATGCAAAAAGCAATCCTTTCAAATACAAGTTATTTTCCTAGTGGTACTCTACTGTTGCAAATCTTGAAAAATCACAAAGTCCAGTTTCTTCATTATGAGTATTATAGATTTATGTACAGATACATATAAATATCATTCATAAATATTTGTGATAAGTCTTATTCATTACTCTGATTTTCCAAAGTTTCAATGACCAAACAATGACTTTAACTTTTAAAGTGTAATTTTAATGCTACCCAAAGAAGAAGCTATTCCATTAGCATAAAAAAAGCTTTATTGGAAGAAATTGGTGGACTAGTGGATGGTGAACAGAAATATGTATGCTAATATAATAGCCTAATGAAGAATGAATAGGCTAATAAATAGCCTAATAAAGAAAATAGGACTACAAAAATGAGAAGCATTATAGGAAAAATCTCATTAACTGCAAGATTCAAAATATTTACATTATTCATTAAAAAAAACCCTCCCATAAAATCTGAATATACCTTTCAATAATTTCCTTTGGGACAGGGACTGTTTGGTTTTTGTCGTTGTGTTCCAAGAAACTAACAATGCCTTGTACAAAGCAGAATCTTAACAAATGTCATGAACTGTTGGATTTAAATATCAATTATTTTTTATTTATTCCACATTTGTAATATTTATAACTAAAACAAATTTAATTTTTAAAAAAATCTCTCTTGGCATAATACAGTACATGATGCTTTAAGTACTTACATCAGTTAACTGTGTAAGTACAATTGTAATACTTATATTTTAGTATCACCTATTAACATACAAGACAATGAATATGATTCTCTACCTTGAACACTTTAACATTTTTAACTTCACCAAATATAAAACACACATTAGTTTAACACAAAGCTTCTATGTTCCATTCACATTTTAGGTTATGGCCTTGAATAAATTAATCCTTTTATAATATCTATTAGTCAGTGCAATTTTCCTTTACATGGGTGGGAGAAAGAAGCCAAAGATTGCTGGGGAAAGTTGAAGCTACAGAATCTGCTGGAAGTGGAACAGAAGAACTACTTTTAGAGGACACCAAATAGGTCAATATGAGTCTACTCTATTTGCTCTGCAACGTTTACAAAAACAACCAATGTGACTAGAATCAGTCAAAATGCCAAACTGAATAAAAGATTCTTTGAAAAATCAAAATGGCATCAAATATCTGGTCCAAGGGATTTTTTCTAATTTTTCCATTGCTTATTTTGGCATCCTATAAACATAGCCTCATCCTGGCATCTGCAGTAGGATAGTTAACAAACAGTTTAAAATAAATTCTCCCTATGACTAGGACAATTATCAAATAGTCACAAAAGCTGTATTAATTTCAAAAACCTCTGAATGGAATATGGTTCTATGGAATGATAAATGTCTATTCACTGAGCAAATTCCCCTTAATAATAATTAGACTTTAATGTCAAATAAAGTCTATTCAACTCAATCTTTCAGCAATTACTCTGACTCTTGAATTGTTGGCTTCAAAATAAGGTTTAAGACATTATGACCCAAGGAAGAAGTTAGTTTTTCAGTCTTATAATTCAATAAAATATGGCTTTTGCAGCCCTAAGCTTTTTTTTCCCACAGAGGTTTATTTTTAATTTAAGGGTACATAAGTATCTAAATATCAAGTTAATATGATATTCTGAAGACTGCATATCCAGAAGCAACTCCACACAGTTTGTCCTTGACTATTTCAATTGACTGCATTGTGAATATTTTATGAAGCATATTTATTTTGGAGTTCTTCCTCCTCCCCTCTATGTATTCCTTCCTCTCAATAAAACCATTTAAAAGAAGTTAAAAGAATGCTTTTCTGTACTTTGCTAAGTAAGCAAATTGTAATTTTTATAATCTTGAAATCGAGGACAGTTTAAAATCAACCTTATACTTTTGAAAGAGGCACTACACATTTAAGCTCAACTTATAGCTGAATTTGAATGATTCGCAATCCCCAGCATGTGACATGGGGAAAAGCAGTTTGAGATTAAATCATCCACTCAAACCGTCTCAATTATTCTTCATCATCTCGCTGAAGAGGTATTAGCTGGATTTCTTTGGCGATTCTTTCTGCCAAGGCTCTGCTGCTTGCAGCAATTATTCTTCGTGACATCAAGTCAAAAGGTCCCCCTAAAATCAAAATCACGAATATCAATGAATCACATGCAGTACAGGAGGGCTCAAAGTAAGATCAGGATACGTACAGTCAGTTACACAGTGTTTCATGGCTTACTCAAGTCTTAAAAAAGTGTATCCTCTCACACACCCGTGGCAAGTAAGTGTTAGCATTAGATAAATGGGATTCCTAGGCTTACTTACTTTATCTGATACAAACAAATGCCCCATAAATATCCCATTCCAAAGTCTGGAAAGGAGATTTATACAGCCTTCTCATCATCTAGGTGTCCATGAAAACATATATGACAGTCAAACTTCCACATCTCTCTACCTCCAACCCTTTCATTCTCTTGCTCTTTTCCCTGGCTTCTTAGTTACCTTTGACCCATATCACTACTTAACTTTAAAAATTCAGTTTATTAGCTCAAAACAGTTATTTGACTTCTTTGTTTATGTAAAGAAAATCTTAAATTAGAAAGGAAAGAGAAGAAGGAATGTAGGTGAAAGAGTTCAGTTCACCAAATTCAGATAAAAGATAATTCCTCACAGCAACTACCCACCCAAAAGTGCTTTGGGAGATAACAAGTCACTATGACCCCAAAGGAATTAACCAAAAATCTCAGGGCTACTGACACTCATTCTGAGAAGCACAGACATAAATCAATGAATCAATTCAGAGCCATCAATAGCCTCACACACACTTTTTGTTATTTTGGTTTTGTGAACAATTATAGATTTTCCCAAGGTAAAAGCTGAGTCAATCAGTCAACAAGCATTTATTAAGCACTTACTTACTATGTGTGAGGCATAGTATAAAGTGCTAAGGACACACAAAAAAGAAGAAAATAGTTCCCACCCTTAAGGAGCTCATATTCTAATGGGAGAAAACAAGGAAACAACTATGGACATAAAGATATGTACAAGTAAAATGGACATAACCTCAAGGAAAGGAACTAATATGAGGGGCAGTGAGTAGGAATAGACCAGGAAAGGCCTCTTACAGAAGGTGGGATTTGAAGTGAGTCATAAAAGAAGCCAGCATAAAAGAAAACAAAACAAAACAAAAAAACAGTCAAGCATTTAAAAGGATTAGTGAATTATGGAAGGAGGCTCAGAAAACAGGCTAAAGGTTCTCTGCCACCATATAATTTTACCTGTTACATCCAAAAGCACTCCACCAGCTTCAGTAATGATAATACCAGCTCCTGCCATATCCCAGCAGTGAATGCCCATTTCATAGTATGCATCTGCTCCTCCACTTGCAACAAGGCACATATTTATTGCTGCTGTACCAACGCCCCTTATCCTAAAACACAGTATTTTAAACAAAATTTACTAAGAAAAATAATATCCTTTAAGACTGTTCTTGCTTTTCTCAATTCACTTTATGGAGTGCCACCTGAAATATCTGTTATCCATCAATCCATGGGATAATTAAGGCTAATATATCAAGAACAGTGTGTCATTTCCTGATCCTGTGCATATATTCTACAAAAATAATGAAACAAGTGCTGACCCTAACAAAATTAAATTATTTAATATGGTTTAACATTAACTAAATAAGAGTATTTTGCTAACAGTATCAGTAATATTAATATTAATATTAAGCAATGAGAACATATTGCTAAGAAGAAATAAAAATGTTTTTTAAATCCCACCAATAGTAATATAACAATAAGACTGTCAGTTGCCACATACTTTTAGATCTGTTAAACATGAAATTAGCTCATTTTACTGATATGTAAGAAACATATCAATAAACATATAATATATAACCATATAATAAAATATAAATATAATCTTGGATTATAAGAAATGCCAGTACTTTAGACATCGAAAATCTTTGATTTATAACTAGAAAAAAAATCATAAACTTTAAAAAGCAACACAGTATCACAGGATCAATCATCCTTGACTGAACTGTAGCATTACTCTAAAAATGTAAGATAAAGATAAAATAGTAAATGGAGTAACAAATAAAATAAGGCTTTGTTTCATTTTGAGAAAATCTTAGAAATAAGGATAGCTCATGGTCAGAGTAATATAGGATGGGAGGATGGCAAATGTCATCACCATTTTGAGAAAAAGGGAGAGGAGGGAAGGCAAGCGGAATCTGCAAACTATAAGCTTGCCTTGAATTCCTTGGCAAAATTCTAGTTGCAAAGTTGGAAACAATCAACAATCACATAAATCTGCAATTATTCAGTAACTTTCTTTTTACATCCACTCTAAAGAAGCTGTCAGGAGCCACAATGGATGAAGTAGTTGGTTTTCCTAAAGGCACTTATTATATTAAATTTCAAGAGCCTCAAATCCTAAATAAAACTAAGATTTACTTAAAATAATATTTTTAAAAGCTTTTACCTTTGAAATATTCAAGAAAAATTTCTGTAACTGATCAAATATTAGTTTTAAGCTTTTTTTCCACATGAACATTCTAAGATGACTGAATAAGAATTAAACCACATTTTAACCATTACTACATTGAGACCTACAGCTCATGAAAAAAAAATCATTTCTTATTCTAAAATGTCAGAATTCTTTGAAGTTTTCAATAGAAGACTAGCTTACCCATGAATAGGAATACAAAGAAGTCTCTCCATGTTTGAAAGAATAATTTTTACAATCTCTGGTTCTCTGTTAGATCCCAATTCTGTCACCAAAACTGATTTAGTAATATCTAAAAGAAAAAAAAACCTAACATTAGGAACTTGAAATTTCATTATCTTGAACTTGGGACAAAACACAATTATCCATCTGCAATTCAGATTAAATCATGACATAAGTCCTTCTACACTTTTTTCCATCAAACATGTCTGCATTTCAGCCTACAAACTTCTTTTGTTTTTAACAACAATATAGGCGATCCATCACCTTATGGAATACCAGGGGATACAAAGGCTAGAATGATGACTCACTTTACATGTAAGATTGGATTTGTTCAATATGTACATATTTACATAACACAATGCCAATGTATCTAATATTATGTTTTAAATAACAAGAATTTGGAAATTAATTCTGCAGAAAGTAGAAGAATTTCCTGAAGTTAGCTAAAGAAAATGTCATGCAAGGTCATGCTTGCTCAAGTAACAATCAGAATATCCATCCATCCCACAGACAGGACTCAGGGCAATGTAGGATTTTCTTGGACCCCATGGGCACTGAGCAAGCATCAAGTACATAACAATTACAAGCATCCTAAACCCTTTCGTTTGCCTCATGACTCCAGCTATTTATGTAGTTGGCAAAGGCAGAAGCTTTCTGTTCTTGGGATAACTCACTGAAATCAATACAAAGTCATGGATGCTTGACTATTTCCTCTTCATCAGGTACCAGTTATCCCAATGCTTGGGAACTGTGCACATTTAAACTTTAAAATCCACTAAGACTTTTGGAACACATTGTATATGTATATAAGACCAGGTAGAAATGTTAGAATTAATGATAAACCTTCAAAAATGAAATTCACTCATAATTTGTCCTATTCTCTTCTTTCCATATGACCTCACTGTATATTTTTAGCACTGCCCACAAACAACTTCGGTTGGAGTCAATATTTAACAATACCCAAATGATGGTTCCTATAATTCTCAAAAGAAGTCTAGCATTCCAACCACTCCCCAAAATGCACAGGATACAACCCATCTGTCTACACAGACAGATAGATCCTCAGGTGGGAAACAAGCAAATACTTTGAACCAGAACATACTGAACTTTGATACTTTAAAGCACTATTTGTATATAGATTTCCCATAAAATAGCAGTATGAAACTTTTTAAAAAGTAAATTAGTATCATAGATTTAAAGCAGCTAGGAACTGTTGGAATCCATCTAATCCAATGTCATCATTTTAAAGATGAGAAAACTGAAGCCCAGAGAAACAAAGTAGTTTGTCCAAGGTCACACAAGTAGTAAACTACAGAGCTAGGATTTGGACTTCAAATCCAGTGTTTTTCCATTGCACTGCTGTTGAGTTGCACAGGCTGAGGCAATTTCAAATCACATTTGCTTTCTTTCTTTCCATGATTAGTATTAAAAGCTGATCCATAGCTAGAAATAGGAGAAAGAAAAAATACCAAAACACTGGAAGGAAATCAATAATCATATGCCACAAAATCCCCTTGCACACATTCACACAATTCATCACTGATGAATGGAATGCTCCTCGCTCTAACTTTGTCAGCTTTTGGCTAGAGTCCTTCTCATCCTTCAAAGCCCAGTTCAGGTACCATCATATCTGTTTCATTATTATCTTTGTATCCCCGTAGCACTAAGCCCAGTGGCTGGCACATAACAGGTGCCTGATAAATGCCTGTTGATTGAGCCTTCCCTGATTTTACTAACTGAAAAAAATCTCTCCCTTTTTGAATTTTCTTACAGTACTCTGTCTAGAACTTTGCTTTGCCCTTATTATATTTTACTCTGAATTATATTGACATATGTGTGTATATGCATATACATACATATACATATAGGTATTATCTTTTCCCCTCATGAGACTCTCAAAGCTTCTTGTGGGCAGGGATCATGTCACTTTCATTCTTTTTTTAATTTTCTAGCTTCTAGCAAAACCTTGTACATAATTGCACTGATATTTACTGGGCTTTATCATTTGGAGAATTCGAAATATTATAATAAAAATAATTCAAAGCCTTCTGAATTAATCATCTATTTTCTCTCTACCACCAAAAATTATTTAATAAACTTACCTTCTTGTCCTGACACCTGAAGTTTCTGATCATTGCAAAAAGCCCCTTTTCCTTTCCTGCCAGTATACATTTTATCTTCTATACAACTGTATACAACTCCAAATTCCATCTACAGAAGAGAAACAATTACAAAAGTATAACACTGTATTATTCTTAAGGAAATCTTCAGTAGCAAGAGAACATATTTACATATAATTGTTTTGGTGATCTGACCAGTGATTTCACTGATATAGAAAATTCCTGCAGATTTTTTTAACTTTATTTTTCTTATTTTTTCGGTCTGTGTTTTCTTTTGCAATATGGCTAGTATAATCAATATCAAACTGCTTCCCTTCTCGAGAAGCAGGGAGAGACAGGAGGGATAAAGAAAATATGGAACTCAAAATTTTTAAGAAATGAATGTTAAAAAATTTTTATATATTAATTGGGAAATATTTAACAAATATATATATATATATATATATTTTTTATATATATACATGTATACACACACACACACACACACACACACACATATACATGTATACATATTAAATAAATAAGAAAACTCCTTCTACCAACTCAGAACAAGAGGCACTGCCTGGGGCACTAAAAGGTTAAGTGACTTGCCCAGAGTCATACAGGCAGAATGTCAAAGGACTTTAACTCTGGCCTTTCTTTTTTCTAACCACAGCACTTCATCCACCACTCCATGCTGCCATGTGTTTACTTAAATAAAATAATTTGGTAAAATGACTTAACTGCTACATATTTAAAATGTAGATTTCTAGACAAGTCTGAGTTTGAAAAAATCTTGAGGTCATTTAGTTCCAGACATGAAAATAAAATTTAAACCCTCTAGCCTATTCCAAAGCTCCTTGCCACCTTTCTAGAAAAACGGCCTCTCCTGGATCCTATGTTCTTCCCTCACTTTCTTTCTGTCCCTTGGCTTCCTATAAATTGAGTAGTTTAGGAGGGAAGGTCTTTTCTTATCCATGATTCCAAACTGGAAGTCTAGGCCCTACACACATTACTTCTATTAAGTCAAGCTCCCTGGCTTAAACTAGTTATAGAAATTTCCTGAAGCTTCCTTCAGGCTTCCTATGTAAACCAATCATTAATACATAAAAGTTGGCCAGCTCCAAAGGCCTCGTTATTATTAATCAGTTGGTGTATATTCATTGAGAGCACATTTGTACGGGATCGCCCTTATTAAAATGGAGCTCCTTGAGAGCAAGAACTTTCTTTATGTCCCCCACAGAGATTAGCACAATGCCTAGTACATAGGAGAATCTTAATAAATGCTCACTGACTGATGTTAAGTACTACACATGCTAGGTTATAAGGAGAATAAAAAGGAATTCTAAGACCAAACCTACTGTTAGGAGTTTACAATCTATCTGAGGAACTAAGATAAATAAAAGGGGACCCAAGAGGAATAACCCATAATAATCTATGCATGGACTGATAAGGGATCACCTCTCCAATCTATGCTACTCATTGCTACCAGAATGAGCTTCCTAAAATATTAATTTGCTAATGTTACTTCCTTGTTCAAAAATCTCCAACAGTTTCCCATCTCCAGAATATAAAATCCAGGGGCAGCTAGGTGGCGCAGTGGATAGAGTACGGGCCCTGGAATCAAGAGACCTGAGTTCAAATCAGACCTCAGACACTTAATACTTACTAGTTGTGTGACCCTGGGCAAGTCACTTAACCCCACTGCCTAGCAAAAAAAACCAAACAGAATATAAACCCCAAACTCCTTAACACAGCATTCAAGATCCTTTCTAATATGGCTCCAAGCTAAAAGAGGCAGTATGGTAGATAAATTGTGAAACACAATAAGGAGTCAAAGGACCTACGTTCAAATCTCAGTTCGGTCAAGGAGTAAACCACTTAACATCTCTGAAGCTTGTTTCTTTATCTATAAACTGAAGTGGTTGAACTAGATGACCTCTAAGATCCCTTCTAATTCTCAGTCTATTCTCCCTACCTTCTCTTCCTTTTCTCTCATTAGTCCTCTATACAAACCCTCCATTTCAGCCAAACCGTTCTAATAGTCCTCATTCTGTGAGCATACCTTTTATTTTTCCACCTTTATGCCCTTATTCCTAATCTCTTTTCTGTTCCCCAAATACTGTCTCCACTTCTATCTATTCAAATCCTATACAGTTCAAATAGCATCTTCTCAATGACCTCTTCCTTAATTATCCTACAATCTAGCCTACTTCTCCATCTGAATTCTTCAATCTACCATCATCCAGTTCCTTTTTGTTACAAAGTGCTTTGTATTTGAATAAATGTATTACCTCCTCACTTAATGTAAATTTCCTGGTAAGTAGGGGAGAGGTATTATATTTCTTTTGTATGCCCATTATACTTTGTATGTAACAGGTGCACAACGAATATCTGTAGATTAATCTGGTGACAAAGGCCTAACATAAAAGTTAATTCTTATGTTTCATAATGCTCCCTTGTCAGGAAATTCTTTATACCCACTCAAAATCTATGAAGTCACCTCTGAAGTCAATTCTTCCTTATCTTTGTTTATAAAGCTCTCATTTACAAAATTAAATAAACAGGTTTAAACTAAGCAGAGTCCATACATATTCCTCAGAATTTATTAAAATATTTGAAGGCTAATTCTAATTTTCTTCACTGCAAAGATATGTAATAATAATTAACAATTATTGTCATTTATAATACTAAGTAGGTAACATTATATCATTCATACATATACATTAGCCCAAATTTAATTGCAGGAAAACTTAGAAATCTTTTCCCAAGAAAATAATAATATATAATTCAAGACAGATTTCAATGCCTATAAATTTTAAATGCCTACATACCTTTTTTCCCACAACAAAGCCAATGGAAACAGCTACAAATGGAAATCTTTAAAAAATAAAAACAAGAAAGATAACAAATATTCAAAATAAATAAGATTTTTTGGTCAGACCTTTTTGCAAGAGTATACACAACTCTATGCTGATAGCTTCATATAATACAGAAAAAAGACAAAATATTATGTGCTCTTTTTCTACCGAAGAAAAATCACAGTATGATACAATGTTTATTAATAACCTTTTAGCTGTATTCTAAAATGACCTAATAAAATTGGGGAACATATTTCTTCCACATATAGTCTTGATCTACTCTGACTTTACTTCAAATTAAAAGCTAATTTTTCTTTATCTGCTTCTCAGGACTACTGAATTTTTAAAAAACTAATTTTTTCCAAGTATCTCCAAGATTATGTACACTAAGTATAAATAGAGAGGTGATGAACTAGAGGTAAAGGATGAAATATACATTTTTAGGCATGTCTAATGTGCTGATTCCTTTTACCTGACTATACTCATCTGTCACAAAGAAGAACTTTCAGATTTTGAGGAGAAAAAAAGAGGGCAGTGATAGTGATTTCAAAAAAAAGAAAAAATACCAGTAAAACATATTTCAAATTTACAGAAGAGGATAAAAGACATTTCAGGAGACAAAGATAAGCAGGGTAGTTTTGGAACTACGTTTTGAATTTGTTAATGGTTGACCACAATAGAGGTTCACAATTTAATATACAATCATCTTTTTCTGCTTCTTTGTACATGAAAGTGATCACTTTTGTTAAGTTCATAATAACAAATGACTTTTTTTAAAAGAGTGACCAATGGAACTTATTGCATATCATAGTTATAGATAGGAGAACTTGGAATAAACAAAGATAGCACTGTGAGATGTAAAATAGTTAATTTTGATTACATTAAATTAAAAAGATTTTGTACAAATAAAACCAAGGTAGCCAAAAAGAGGAGACCCTCTTTTGGTCTCCCTCTACACTACTTCACTTGGTGATTTCATCAGATCTCATGGATTTAATCACCATCTTCATGCAGATGTTTCTCCATTCAATCTTTCCTGCCCCAGGCTCTCTGCTGACCTCCAATCTTGCACCTCTAACTGCTTTTCAGACATCTCAAACTTGGATGTCCAGTAGATATCTTAAACTCAATACGTCTAAAACAGAACTCATTATCTTGCACCGTAAACCTTCCCTCCTTATTAATTTCCCTTTAACTTTAGAGGTCAACACCATTCTCCCAGTCCCTCAGACTCACAACCTAGGAGTCACCTAGGATTCCTCATTATCTCTTACCCTTCCATGTCCAAGATGTTGTCAAGGACTATTAGTTTTACTTTTGCAATATTTCTCGAGGAAGTCCCCCTCTCCTCGTACATTGTCACTCTAGTCAGGCCCTCATCACCTCACAGTGGATTACTGTAATAGCAAGCTGGTGGGTCTGCCTGCCTCAAATCTTTCCCCACCCTAATTTATCCTGCATTCAGCCACTAAAGTGATTCTCCTAAAGTACAGGTCTGATTATGTTAACCCCACCCTCACTCAATAAACTCCAGTGGCTCCCTCTTGCTTCCCAAAGCAAATACAAAATGTTCTGTTTGGCATTCAAACCCCTTTATAATTTAATCCCCTTCTACCTTCCCAATCTTTTTACACATTCCTCCTTAACAAGTACTCTTCCATCTAGTGATCCTGACCTCCTGGGTATTCCACAAAGACAGGAGTAGGGAACCTTTGGCCTTGAGGCCACATGTGGCCCTCTAGGTCCTCAAGTGCAGCCCTTTGAGTGAATCCAAACTTCACAGAACAAATCCCCTTAATAAAAGGATTTGTTCTGTAAAACTTGGACTCAGTGAAAAGGCCGCACCCAAGGACCTAGAAGGCTATATGTGGCCTCAAGGCTACAGGTTCCCCATCTCTGCACAAAGACATTCTATCTCTTGACTCCAAACATTTTCTCTGGCTGACCCCCTCCCCTGTGTCTGGAATGCTCTCCCTTCTCCCCTCCAACTACTGATTTCCTTTCCTTCCTTACCAGCTAAAATTCTTCCTTCTACAGGAAGTTCCTAATACCTCTCAATTCTAGTGCCTTCCTCTTTTAACTATTTCCTATTTATCCCCAAAATAGCTTGCTTTGTAAATATTTGTATCCTTGTTGTCTCTCCCATTAGCTTGTAAGGCAAGAACTATCTTTTGCCTCTTTTTGCATCCAGTGCTTAGCAGAGTGCCTGACATTTAGTAAGTGTTTAATAAATGTTTAAGTAATAACTAAAAAAAAAACAATAATGGTTTAGGAGAACAGGTAATGAAAAATACCTCTTTCCTCACAGCAGAGAGGCAGAGAATTACCAGGGGACAATATTATATACCGAGTCAGGTGGGACACTTAATAAATGCTTGCTGACTTGACCTTAACAAGTTGACACACACATTGCCAGTACAACTGAACCTCTTTTCAGAATCACTTTAAACTATTAGGAGGGTAAAATGACTAGTTTATTTTGTCATTTTACATCTCAAAACAAAATACTTCTTTACATTCTAGCAAATCCTCAATGCTACTACTCAATACTAGGTATTTAACATAACTCTGATATAGGATTAACACTGAACTTTGTCAAACAAACTGCTGCTGGCTTTGCTGAACCAAAATGACACTTCTGGGAGGAGTGGTAACAAAAATCAGAACTGGCTATTTAGTATTCCACAGTCATCTCTACAAGAGCAGTGGAGTCAGGAAGAACTGGATTCAAATCCTATTTCTGGCCCATATCTATGTAACCAAGGGCAAGTCATTAAACCTCTCAGTACTCCCAGGAAATTCTCTGAGACTAAATATCAGACAAATTGTTGACTTGTATCACTGGAGAGAGTTGCCATACCAGAAAGCCCTGCACTGATGAAATCAGAGGACCAGGACAAAAAAAAAGTCTTAACTATAGAAGTACAACAATATTAACACATACATATCAACTGCTATCTCAGAAGAGAGAAAACATCAGGAAAATATGCAAGAGCACTTTAAAGGTTAGAACTAGATGAAACATGAAAAGTACTGAGTTCATGCCTGAAAGAACGTCAACCAAGAAGGTAGGAGGATACTGCAGACGTGTGCCAGTAAATCTTTAACAACCAGCTCGCGTAGGGGCACACGGGAAGTGCATGACACACTTTTAAATTTAATCTGAATATTGACAATTTCTCCATTGCTTTCTTAAGTCTATCAATGAAACTTAAGCCTAGATCTGTAGCATTTGCCAATTTCTGAGGTATAAATGCTCATACTGAAAACATAGTAATTGGCTCTCAAGAATCAAGAGAAGCTGGCTCCAGCACATGCCGGGCCATGGGTATCACCAAGCATTAGAAACAGGTCTAGGAAACACATTCTCCTTTGAATGTGTTCATATTTATTGTTCATATATTTAGGGCCAGAAGGAACAATAGAAGTCTCCTTGTCTAAGGCTTGCTTTTTATAGATGAGGACACTGAAACCCAAGGAGGTGAAGTGACCTGCCAAAGGTCACATACATAGGCAGTAAATGAAAGGGCCAGGACTTGAACCCAGGTTCTTCAATTCCACACATGTCCTAAACCCTAAGAAGGGCTTATATTTCACAGTTTTATATAGACTCAAGACAACCACTGCATGCCAAGTATACGCACATATATATAGAGGCAGAGATGAGAGACAGTGACAAAGGTCATAGATCTACAACTGCAATGGACCTCATGGACCTCAAAAGGCCATCAGTCCAACCTCTCATTTTACAGATGAGGAAACTAAGGCCCATAGAAGCTAAGTTACTTGCCCAAGTCACAAAGGTAATAACTGTCGGAGGAAAGATTTAACCCAGGTCTCTTGATGCCCAAGACAATGCTCTGTAAGTTGCTTAATCCCCCCTCCTCCATCCCTTCCTGTACCGATAAAAAAAAAATCTATTCATTTAAGGAAAATAAGGTTGATTCTCATTAGTAATAATTATCTTATAATTATCTTAATATTATCTAAAAATAATTATCTAATAATTAGTAATGTTTCCCTGAAATCCCTTCCTCTACTTACTCTTCCTTCTGAACTGTACTAGCTCCCTATTCCTTCCAGATTCTATCTATTCTGACTACCCTCTTCCCCATATGCATTTTAACCCCCTAATCTCTCAGCACACACTGAAACTCTGGGAGATCATGTTGTTCCATATATAAATTTTCATTTGGTTCTAGGGAAGAATCTGGGACAGCCAGGAGACAATTTGGTGACAAATACAACAGCTTTATGATGCTAATAACCACATTCCTGATTGAGAAAATTAAACAGTATTTATTAAAAGCAACAATGTTAAACATTCTTTTGTAAAAGTTGGTTATTTTTTGAAGGAGCTTAAATAGGACAATCATTTTTCTAAATGGTGGAATGTTAAAAATTTTAGAATTCCAAAACAAAAACCCAACAGCATACATCACAAAAAGTTGTTAACAACAATGACAAATAAATAGCTGATATTATATAAAACCTATGCTTACAAATCCATTTATACTCATTAATTAATTTGATTATCACAAAACATGGCAAAAAATGTCCATTTTATTGATAATAGTATTATTGGAGTGGTACATACCTATGAACAAAGTTAGTAGTTCCATCAATAGGATCAATTATCCATGTGGGATTATCAGTCAAGACACTGTATTCCCCAGCAGCCACTGATTCCTCCCCAATGAAACTAAAGGACAAAAATATCAAATGTTACCAAGTTCACTTTACTTTCATTTTCCTAAACACATTTCACAAACTTAGCAGTCTACTCACAAAAGCTCACACTTAGATCACACACTTAGAATTGGCACCTAGTTCAACGTCTAATTTTACAAATGAATAAAGGAAGGCCTAAGAGAGGACTTGCCTAGTGTCAAAGGTTATAGTGGCCAGGCTGAGATCCTGAACCCAATTCCTCTAACCCCATATCCAGCACTCTTTCTGCCTGCACACTCTTCTGCTATTATTCCCCTTTATTTCTGGAAGATCTGCAAGAACATAGATCTGATTCTGTGCTGGTCCCAGTTCTTACACAGACCGCAGGACTCAACACAAATGCAAAGTTAAGGTGAGTCAGAGTTCAAGAAGCTAAAAAGCACATCAGATACAAAGAAGAAAACATGAAGAACATCAAAAATACAGGGACAAGAATCAGCCTGAAATCAAACCAACCACTCAATGTGTTGTGCATATGACACCTGGCCTGGATCGGTCTAAAATAAGGAGGCATCTTAAGTAAATAACTGTGTGCCCTCCATCAGTGGGGTCTCTGTCCTTTTATAAAACCTCCTTTTCTACTTCAGTTCAATTCAGCAGCATTCACTTCACCTGGAGTAGGCCTGGTACAGGGTTACCTTGCAGTGACACAAGGAAAGGATGTAATGCTTGAGACCAACATTTAATAAAAGGGGGGAGACTTAGATAAATGCAAAGGAAAGATCCAGGCAAAATGCTATGAGGAATCTAGGGACAGATTTATGTAGCTAATTAATACAATTATCCTGCACAAGTCACCTCATCTTTGGCCTCAAGTTTCCTCATCTTTAAAATGAGGGAGCTGGACCAGAGGCATCTCAGGTCTCTTCCGGCTCTAACTCTACGATCCTTTTGCTAAGCTCTTCTACCCAGATTCTACTAGAATTGTTTCCCTCTTTGTACTGGTATCCCCAGAGCCCAACATTGCCTGGAATATAACAGATACTTAATAAATGTCTGCTAATCGATAGCTAAGGGTATAGTTTTTGTTCATGCACAAAGGTTGTGATTGCAGCTACGAATAGATACTGGTAAAGGAAACCAAGGCTTGAATCACTTGCACAGGGGTAACCGAGTGTTTGCTCCTCTCTCTCCCTCATAAAAGCAATCCCTTCTACCTGCAACATGAAAGTCTTCCTGCCGTGATTTGAAACTCATCTCCCTCCTCCCTAGTAGCTTCAACTTCTCCCTCTCTCCTGGGTGCTTTTCAGTCTGTAAAATGTATTTGAGTTGTCATTTTCTTTCCCCTTGCCCCCCACAAAAGCTTTCATTTGTCCACATTACTCTTCCAGTTTCTTCAGTGGGTCAAAGATGCACAGACTGGTCTTATACTAAACTAGGTTCCACTGCAAATAATACAATAGCAAAGTTTCGATGGAGAGGCCACATAGCCTAATGGATAGAAAGCTGACCTACAAGTCAAGGTGACCTGGGCTCAAATCCCACCTCTCCCACACACTAGCTGTGTGGCCCTGGGTAGGTAATTTAACCACTCAATAATGAAAGCAACACTCTAAGAGTTTAAGTGGCAAAAAGGCTTCCAACCTGCACTGGCATAAAGAACTTCTGTACCAGAGGTCTCCACATAACAACTCAAAAAAGTTCCAAGGAATTTAATTATGCCTCCACCTGTTTCTATTTCTGCATTATTTATACTCTGTATTTTTATACTTGAAATTGAAGAAATACCTGTGAGAAGGAAACCTTTCCTTTATGGCAGAAAGCATCATTTTTTCAACTTTTTGGTCAGTGGCTGTAACCAGATCTGCTGGAGAACTCTTCATCATGACAGCCATCTCATTTTTTAAAGCTTCCCGAATCACCTAAAGACATTGTTTTTAGTGAACACATGGAAAAAAGATGAATGATTTAAAACCAGAAAAAAAACACAAATGGTATGAAACATGAAACTACTGCTACTCAACAATACCCCCAGTATCAACCTTTAATTTACATAAAATCAGCCTTCAGAGATCACAGAAAGAAGGTTACAGCTGGAAGAACCTTATAGATGAGTTGACCACTTCCCTCCTTTTATAGATGATGAAACTAAGGTCTACAGAAAAGAGTAATTTACCAAGGCACATGGCTAATTAGTAGAGTTGAACTAGAAAATCATATCATCCAGGCTCTTTCTAAGACACAATAATTATAAATTCATGAATTTCTAAAACTGAGTCCTTTTTCAGACTCAGCTGTGTCATCTTTTCATATTATAGTAGTAGTTTTTTTAATCCAGGAGGCAGAACATTTATTTCTTTGAATTCAAGTGATATTTAGTCAAAAGAAAAGTGAGCTTCACTAGTTTTTTAAAAAGTCTCATTTAAAATAGCAACATAAATTGTGTACCCATCCATGTATATATGACCCAATTTACCTCTCCAGCTTTTCTTGCTAGGGTTATTGCATAATCCATGCATTCTTGCCAAGGATCGGCCATCTTCTCCTGTATATATTTAAAGACATTATGTAAAACAGCTACAAATTCCCAAAAGTCCTAATCCTAGCTGAAGAATATGCTGTTCAAAAGTTAGCCCCATAAAAGAAAGTTAGCCCCCCAAACACCCTTTGATTTCAGATTCACCACCTTTCCCATCTAAGAGTTCATAAATTTTTAAGACACCTTAGGTAACAGAGGCCTAGAAAGATAGAGTATCTTGCTAGGATGGGGCAAAGTCAGGATGCTTTTACTACTACCCCATGATGCTTGACCAAGTTCAAGGGCTTATTGGGATTTTTTCCAATTTTTTAAATTACTTATTTTTAGCTTTTTTTAAAAAAATTCTGAGTTCCATTTATCTCCTTCCATCCAGTCCCCCTCAACCACTGAAAAAGCAAGTGATCTATCAATTATACATGTGAAATCACGAAAAATATTTCTATATGAGCAACTGCAAATTGCATGTTGCAAAAAAAAAAGCAAGAAATATTAAAAAAGTGAAAAAATACTTCAGTCTGTGCTGAGTTCACAAGTTTCCTCTTTAGATGTGGATAGCACTGTTCATCATGAATCTTCTGTAATTATCTTAGATCATAGTACTGATCAGAGTAGCTAAGTCTTTCACAGTTGATCATTACAATATTGCTAATGCTGTGTACAATGATGTCCTGGTTGTGCTCACTTCACTCTGCACCAGTTCATAAAAGTCTTCCCAGATTTTTTGGAAATCATCCTGCTCATCACTTCTTACAGCATGATAGTATTCCATCACAATCATATAGCATAACTTGTTCAGCCATTCCCTAATTGATAGGCATCCCTTCAATTTCCAATTCTTTGACACCACAAAAAGAGCTGGTATAAGTAATTTTGTACATGAGTCCTTTTCCTTTTTATTTGATCTCTTTGGAATATACAGATTTAGTAGTGGTATTGCTGGATCAAAGGGTATACACAGTTTTATAGCCCTTTGGGCATAGTTCCAAATTGTTCCCTAGAATGGTTGGACCAGTTCACAACTCCACCAACAGTACATTAGTGCCCCTGCTTTTCCACATCCCCTTCAGCATTTGTCATTTTCCTTTTGTGTCATGTTAACCAATGTGAAAGTCATCAGGTGGGAACTCAAAGGTGTTTTAATTTGCATTTCTCTAATCAGTAGTGATTTAGAGCACTTTTGTAAATGACCATAGATAACTTTGATTTCTTCTTCTGAAAACTGCCTATTCATATTCTTTGACCATTTATCAACTGAGGAATAACTATTTTTATAAATTTGACTCAGTTCCCTACATATTTGAAATATGAGGCCTTTAATAGAGGAACTTGCTGTAAACATTATTCACCAGTTTCCTGCTTTTCTCTTAATTTTGGCTGCACTGATTTTGTTTGTGTAAAATCTTTTTATGTTCATATAATGAAAATTTTCCACTATACTGCCCATGACCATACCTTTTGTGTGGTCATTAACTCTTCCCTTATCCATAGATCTGACAGGTAAAATTTTCTATGTTGCCTTAATTTGCTTGTATCACTTTTTATGTCTAAATTATGTACCCAATTTTCCCTTACTTTGGTATATGAGGTAAGATCTTAGTCTATGCCTATTCCTGCTAAACTGTTTTCCAGTTTTCCCAGCAATTTTTTTCAAATACTAAATTCTTCCCCCAGAAGCTTGACATCTTTGGGTTTATCAAAACTAGATTATTATACTACTATATAGTAAATGTACCTAATGTATTCCATTGATCTATCAATCTATTTCTTAGCCAGTACCAGATTGTCTTGATGATTACTGCTTTGAAATATAGTCTAAAATCTGGTACCACTAGGCTGCCTTCTTCAGGGCTGTGGGGCCCTTCTCCCATTGGTTCTCTTGATGTTTTTGACCTTTTGCTCATCAAGGATGAATTTTGTTTTTTGGGGGTTTTTTTGGTGTGTGTGATCTACAAAATAATTCTTTGATAGCTTGACTGGTATGGCTCTGAATAAGTAAACAAATTTAGGTAAAATCATCATTTTTATTTTATTAGTTCAGCCCACCTATGAGCAATTAATGCTTCCCCAGTTGTTTAGATCTATCTTTGTGTGAAATGTTTTATAATTGCGTTCATAGAGTTCCTGGGTTTGTCTTGGTAGGTAGACTCCCAAGTACTTTATGTAATCTGTAGTTATTTTAAATGGAATTTCTCTATCTCTTCCTGCTGGGTTTTATTGATAATAGAGAAATATCGATGATTTATATGAAGATATTTTATATCCTGCAACTTTGCTAAAATTGTTAATTGCTTCAGCTATATTTTTGGTTGATTCTCTAGGATTCTCCAAGTATACCATCACACCATCTGCAAAGAGTGTTGGTTTTGTATCCTCATTGCCTATTCTTAGTTTTTAAATTTCTCTTTCTTGTCTTATTGCTACAGCTAGCATTTTCAATGCAATACTAAATAATGGTGATGATAATGAACAGCCTTGCTTTACCCCTGATCTTACTGGGAAGGCTCCTTGTTTACACCCATTACAGATAATGCTTGCTCTTGATTTTAGAGAGATACTACTTATCATTTTAAGAAAAGCTCCATTGATTCCTATGCTTTCTAGTACTATTCATAGGAACAGGTGTTGTATTTTGTAAAAAGATTCTTCTGCATCTATTGAGATAATATGATTTTTGTTGTTTTTGTTATCAATCTGATCAATTACATTAACACTGAACTAGCCCTGCATTCCAGGTATAGATCCTACTTGGTCAGAATGTATGATCTTTTTAATACATTCCTGTCATTTCCTTGCTAGATACATTCCTGTCATTTCCTTACCAGTATTTTATTTAAAATTTTTACATTGATATCTGTTAAGGAAATTGGCCTACAGTTTTTTTCATGTTTTTGCTTTACCTGGCTTAGGTATCAAAACAATATTCCTATCACACAAGGAATTTGGTAGAACTCTTTCTTTACTTATTTTTCCAAATAGTTTATATATTATTGGAATTAATTGTTCTTTAAATGTTTGGCAAAAATTTACATGTAAATCTGTCTGGTCCTAAGGATTTTTTTTGTTGGTGAGCTCATTTATGGCTTGTTCAACTTCCACTCCTAAGACACAGTAATTTAAGTATTCTATTCCTTCTTCTGTTAATCTGGAAAATTTATAGTTTTGTAAACATTCATCCATTTCACTTGATCAGCTTTATTGTCATATAATTGGGCAAAATAACTCTTAATGATTGCTTTAATTTCATCTTCATTAGTGGTACATTCAATTTTTCATTTTTTATACTAGTAAACTTGGTTTTCTTCTTTTTTTAATTCAAAATAGTCAATGGTTTATTTATTTTGTTGTTTTTAATCTTTAGGATTAGATTTACTATCCAACCAATTTTTCTGAGTAATATTTTATTTTTCCCAATTATATATAAAAACAATGTATGATTATGATCACCATACATTGTACATCAGAATGTATGATCTTTTAAATATATTGCTGTCATTTCCTTGCTAGTATTTTATCTAAAATTTTTACACTGATATTTGTTAAGGAAATAGGCCTATAGTTTTGGTGGGTTTTTTTTTTTCATGTTTCTGCTTTCCCTGGCTTAGGTATCACAACCTAATTCATCACAACAAAATTCATTTTAAAAATTCATTTTTAAAAATTTTAAGTTCCAAATTTTCTCCCTCCCTCTGTCCCATCCCTGAGGCAGTGAGCAATTTGATATAGTTTATATATGTACAATCATGCAAAACAGATTTTCATATAAGTCATGTTGTGAAAGAAAACCAAAAAGTGTGAAAAAACTAAACAAAGTGAAAAATAGCATGCTTTGATCTGTATTCAGACTTCATCAGTTCTTTCTCTGGAGGTTGATAGCATTTTTTACCATGAATCCTTTGGAATTGTTGTGGATCACTGCACTGCTGAGAAAAACTAAGTCATTCACGGTTGATAACACAATATTGTTGTTACTGTGTACAATATTCTAGTTCTGCTCACTTCACTTTGCATCAGTTCACGTAAGTCTTTCCAGGTTTTTCTGAAATCAGCCTGCTCATCATTTCTTATAGCACTATAGTATTCCATTACAATTACATACAACTTGTTCAGCCACTCTCCAATTGATGGACATTTCCTCAATTTCCAACTCTTTGCCATCACAAAGAGCTGATATAAATATTTTTGTACAAATAGATCATTCCCCGCCCCCTCCCCCCCTTTTTTAATCTTTGGTATATAGATCTAGTAGTATAATTGGGCCAAAGGGTATGCACAGTTATATAGCCCTGTGGGCATAGTTCCAAACTAGTCTCCAGAATGATTGGATCAACTCCACCAACAGCTCATTAGTGTTCCAATTTCTCTGCATCCCCTCCAATATTTATCATTTTCCTTTTCTATCATGTTAGCCAATCTGATAGGTGTGAGGTAGTAACTCAGAGTTGTTTTTTCACTTAATTTTTAACCTATGCTTCCAAGGCCCTTTACTAAATGTAATTTTTATTACATTATGGTCTAAAGAGAGTGCATTTAATATTTTTGCTTTTCTGCATTTGTGAGATTTTTATGCCCTAATATGTACTCAATTTATGTGAAGGTGCCATGTACAGCTGAGAAAAAAATATACTCCTTTCTATTCTTATTCAATTTTCTCCAGAGGTCTATCATATCCAGCTTTTCTAAAATTCTATCTAACTCCTTAACTTCTTTCTTATTTATTTTATTGTTAGATTTATCTAGTTCTGGGAAGGGAACATTGAGGTCCCTAAATAGTATAGTTTTACTATTTCTTCCTGTAACTTTTTAAATTTTTCTCTTTAGATGTTCTGCCATTTTGGTATATACACACACACACACACACACACAGACTATTGATATTACTTCACTGTCTATGTACCTTTTATCAATGTGTAGTTTCCCTGATTATTCTTTTAACTAGGTCTATTTTTGCTTTTCCTTTGTCTGAGATCATGATTGCTACCCCTTCTTTTCTCTTTACTTCAGCAGAA